GTCAGGGTGGGGTGGGGAGGGTGGGGGTGGAATGGGTGGGGCGGGCGGAGTTGGGAGAGGCAGGGAGGGGAGGTTGTGCTGGGGGAGGCCTGGGAAGGGGAGAGGAGTTGGTTGGGAAGGGGAAGAGAGAGAGCGCGTTGACTGAGTTCTAGCGGCTCCAGAGCAGGCCGGTCCATCTTGTTGATGAATGTGAACACTGGCAGGTGCCGCATGCGACACACCTGGCGAGGTTGGGAAAAAAGGGGGGAATGGGGAATTGGAGAGGCAGGCAGTGAGTTTGATTTGAGCAAGGGAGGGAGGGAGAGATAGCGTGTTGACTGCGCTCCAATGCTGGGCGTCCTGTTGATGAACGCGAACCGGCGCCCCATGCGACATACCTAGTGAGGTGAGGTGAGGTGAGGTGGGTGGGGGAGAAGGGAGGGCGAGGGTGGAGAGATGGGTGAGAGTGGGAGAATGTGAGGAGAGGGGAGGCGGACTTGAGAGAGGCGGCTTAGGAGAGACATGCATGAAGGTTGTGCGGGGACAGTTCTGGGGGGGGAGGAGGGAGAGGGAGTTGACTGACTGGGCTTCAGCAGCAGCTGCAGCCCCTGACTGACAGGGAGGAAGTCCATGCTGCTGATGCTAACTAACTAACCACAAGTCCACACCACAGTGAGCATGAGTTTTGAGGCGCCTCAGAAATCGTTTTGAGGCGCCTCAAAAGCCCACAGAGAGCATGAGACGAGAGGGACATGAGCATGGCCTGTTTGTGTGGTGAAAGACGTTTCCAGCATAGCGTGAGTGGGGTTGGTTGGGGAGGAGGTGCAGTGGTGGAGGGAGGGCGGAAGGAACAGGAGAAACGAGGGAGGTTTGAAAAGGAGAAAACGATGGAGGGGTGAGAAAAAAGGATCCTCGGGGAGGAAAAGAACCTCGGCCTCACTCAGTCGGCAGCACCCCACCCACCCACCCCAACCAACCAACCAACCAACCAACCACACGCCCACCCACCCACCCACCGACTCCTCCACCCAGCAGCACACACTCACCTCAAAGAGCTTGCGAGTCTGGGGCTCCAGACCCTTGCCCGCGTCCACCAGCATCACTGCATTGTCCGCCGCTGCTAGCGTCCTGTGGGGCGCGATGGAAGGGGTGGGGGAGAAGGTGGGAAGACTTTTGAGGCGCCTCAAAAGGCGAGACTGCAGCTCCAGACCCTTTCCCCCGTCCACCAGCATCACCCTGCATTGTCCGCCGCTGCTAGGGTCCTGTGGGGTGCAATGGCGAAGGAGGGTGGGGAAGAGGGAATGGGAGAATAGGGGGAAAGGGGGAAAGGCGGGGAAAGGCGGGGAAAGGGGAGAAAGGGCGGGGGGAGACAAAGAAAAGACGGGGGGACGGGGGAGAAAAGGGGATGGTGGTGGTAAAGGGAAAAAGGTTTTAGTGGAGGACAGACAATGCTGCATGCTGGGAAAGAAAGCGCACCCAACATCGCCCTCCCAGACTCCCCGCTCTCCCAACAACACTTTCCTCCCCCATTCCAGCCAGTTGCTCCCTGCACAGTGCACCCACACGCACACCCACACCCACCCCCCCTCCACACACACAAATAGTCCCAACCAACTCCCACCCCCCCCACACACACACACACCCACAACCAAACCCACACCCACACGCACCTGTATGTGTCCTCGCCAAAATCCTGCGCATTGTCAACACAACACCAAGCACACAGCAGACAGAAGCAGGAAGGAACCGACTACTGTCAATCGGGGTGTGCAGTGCAGTGCAGCATAGAGGACGGGAGAGATAGGCAGGCAGTGCTACACCGTCTGCACTGCAAGCACTGGAAGGATTCACCCCCCTGTTGTATTGTATCCTACAGACAGCATCACAGAAATGCCAAGAGATCATCTACAGGTGCCGCCGCCTGGCACGGTATGTTGTGGATTGGATGAATGCAAAGGCTGGCCGGCTGGCTGTTAGTAAAATTCATCATGATTGCAGGAAAGCCACGAGCAAAACAGACCACCCTCTCCCACCTCACGGCCCCCTCAGTCACCTCACGGCCCCCTGTCCATCACCTGATGGCCTGGCGTGTCGAGCAGTGTGATCTGCTTGTCCTTGGCCTCGAACACCATGGCCGTTGATGTGATGGAGATGCCTGCAAGCCATGCCATGCCATGCCATGCCATGCCATGCCACGCCATGTCCAGCATCATTTCATGCCATGCCACGCCATGTCCAGCATCATTTCATGCCATGCCATGCCACGCCATGTCCAGCATCATTTCATGCCATGCCACGCCATGTCCAGCATCATTTCATGCCATGCCGTGCAGGCAGCCATAGCAAACACCGCCATGCCATGCCATCCCATCCCACGCCATGCGGCAACAACCCCACCCACGCCATGCGAGAGAGAGCTAGCTTTTAGTTCCTTGCATGTAATACGGAGTGAAAGAGGACTGGAAGCAGCGGCAAACAGCCGCGGAACAGGGCGAGTGCGAATGATGGAGAGAAAGAAGGGAGGAGCGAGGGAGAGGCGGGATAAGGGAGAGACGGGAGGAAGCAACTAAGAAGTGGTGTCATAGGAGAATCACCCACCGTGTTCTTTTCTTTCCCATGATCCAAGTCAAACACTCTCCCGCACTTCATTCACCGCTCCCCCGCCCCCAATCCCCCCCCGTCCCGCCTCCCCTTCCTCCCACCTCCCACCTCCCCCCTTCAACCATCCCCCATCCCCCATTTCTCCCCCCTCTCCTCCGCCCCCGCACCTCTCTGCTTCTCCAGCTCCATCCAGTCCGACGTGGCATGTCGGGCGGCGCGGCGCGCCTTCACGGTGCCCGCCTCGTGGATCGCCCCGCCGTACAGCAGCAGCTTCTCCGTCTGCGCGCGCCGCAACGAGCGGGGCGGACGGTTGGGAGCGGGAGAGGGGGAGGGAGGAGCGGGGGAGCGGGAAGGCGGGGGCAGAGAAGTGGGGAAGCGGGAAGAGGGGGGAGGAAAAGGGAGGGAGCGGGAGCGAGGGGAGGAGAAGAGGGGAAGAGGGAGGGGGGTGGAATGTTCTGTCGTTTCTTACTAGTTGCTCTCTCGTACGGCAGCAGCTCCGCTGACTGCCGTTCGGCATTAGGGGAATTCTGGGAGTCGCGAAATAAGGCGGGAAGCCGCGATAACGAGCAACTTCGTCTGCTCATGTCGTCGTACCAGCGTAGTCTTTCCCGCGTCAGGATGCGAAATGATGGCGAAGTTACGACGCTTCGCCACCTCCTTCGCCAGCGCCTCAGGGCTAATCTCCGCCGCCGCGCCTCCCTCCTCATCTTCCCCAGACGAAAGCGACGACCCCGAGACCGACCCACTCTTCTTCCGCGCGCTCTTCCGCCGATACCCCTGCGGGCCTGCTTCCTCCGCCGCCTCCGCCTCCCCGTCGCTCCATTCCCCCGCGCTCACCTCCCCGTCACTCTCAATATCGCTTTCCACCGAGGATTCGGAATCTGACCGTTGCGATTCGTCTACGGCAAGCGCTAGCGCCTCTCGCTCAGTGACGTCAGCGGCCTCATCCACGGGCGCGACTGCTGGCGATGCGGCGGAAACGGGGGAAAGCCGCGCGCGGGAGGGGTTTCCGCTGGAAACAGCCCCGTTAAAAGCGGCTCCGCTGCAACGCACAGATAGTGCGTGTCGTTGCCGAAAGTGCGCGGAAGGGACACCTGAGTGAGGACGCGCAAGGTGCGGCGGTGACGCGCCGTGCTTAATGTGCTGGCATGCGGGAGAGGGGGACGCAACGTGAGCGAGGAGACTGCCACGTGGACAGCGCGCTGCAGTGGCCGCCATTCCGCGATTGTCGCAAAAGCGTCTGTTTGCAAAATTATAATATTTAGCTGTCGCCTAGACTGCTGGCCCCAGTCCTCGTGTGACTGACGGCCCGTGTATGCGTGAATCACGGGGTCAGCAAACTGGAGAGCTGGCACGGGAAAAGGTGGAGTTTGAAACTCAAAGTGAGCTTTTGGTGGTGGGTGCTGGCGGTTTGTGTGGGTGGAAGGTGGTTCGTTCAGCAGAACCACACGTTCTGTCACGCCTAGCCGTTCGTCAGAATCTGGGGTTCAGCCAAAAGGCAGCGCTCCTCGGTTGATTGTGATAAATATTACAGTTCCCGGGATATGCGAGTGTACACACAAAAGGACTACCTTATCCATAATTTCTCTCTGTTATTTGCCGTAATCGCTAGCGACCAGACAACCCATGCCAGACCTTCAGCACCCCTAGAACTGTTGACAACATGACACAAGGGTCGTGCGAAAAAAAGCAAGCGTGCGCATGTCAGAAAGCCCTGCGGAAATCTTGACACGAAGTTGAGCTCGTTTTCCGGTGTACAAACCACTGAGAACGAGACCTTGGAGTACAGAGGCCCACGAAAACATATATCATTGCTGCCACGTAGCGGTTTGCAGTAAAGTTTGAAAGTCAATATTGTTCGAGGGCAAGCGCCAACTGCCACGAGGTCCCATTCACGCGTGGTGAGAACAAAGCCTGCCACGTTGCCAGACCAGATCATTGTACGCGTTTGTAACAGATACGGGTGAATTAGCAGCCAACCTCTTTTATGCAGTGTGAAATTGGGTTGAAAGGTTCCTTGTGCCTGAAGCTATCACCAACCTCCATCCTCTGCTTGTCTCTCCCTTCCCTCTGTGCACTGCATTCCCATCTCTAGTGTCACCGCTCCGCCCTGCTTTCTCTCTGAGCTTCATGATTGAAGGTTTTGTTCGTGTTCAGGAAGCTGTGATCGCTGATTGTGTTCTCGCAAGCAGCATAACTTCGCTGCTCCTGTACCTCCGCCTATTCGCCGCACCTGCGTCTGTTGCTTAACGTGGCAATCGGTCCAGCCTCTCGTCGATTAACTTGCGCCGCATTGCTGGTCAAATTCCTGGAGGCGCCACTTCTGGAACTAGGACCAGAACCAACATATTTCCACCGTTGTGCAAAAGGGTAATACCTCTAGGTGAACGAAAAGCGTTGCCTTTCGTGCCTCGGAATCCATGCGTCCCGCGATGTCGACCCCTCCACCAGCCCCTTTCACCCACGACTCGCGTCTTCGCGAAGCAGGGCAATGTTCGCCCGATAGCATGGTTACCACAGAGGTCCCTTCGCAGCGGCGTTCCGTTACAGAATTACCTGGAGAAGCGCTCGCGGACGAAATCACAGCCTTGGTGCACTCACAGGTCCAGGGAGCGACTGTCACCGATGTCTTTCAGGAAGGGGAATGGAAGAGTATTAGGATGGACAAGGTACACGTGAAGCGATGCTCTGTGACAGCCGGGCAAGGTGGAGTGGCTTCAGAGGAGGCTTTTGCGTGGATTCGAGACTTGGCAAGAGTGGAGATGGAGGGTTCGAGGCTGCAGCAGATGCGACGACTGAAAGGGTCGCAGGACTTGCAAGAGTCGCAAGAGTCGCAAGGGTTGCAAGGGTCGCAAGATAAGGCGCACGTGAAGGCCGAGACGAACGGGCGGAAGTCTGAGTCCGAGCCTGCAGAGCTTCGATCCGAGCCTGCGGGGACACGATTTGATTTTGATTTTGCGGAGTTTCGATCCGGACGTGCAGAGCAGCGATACAAACCTTTAGAGCCCCCGTCTGAGCCTGTGGATCGAATCTCTGAACCTGTAGAGTTCCGTTTTGAGCTAGCTGAGCTCCAATCCGAGCAAGCTGAGCTGCGTTCCGAGCCTGCTGAGGTCCGATCCGAGCCAGCTGAGGTGCGATCCGAGCCTGCTGAAGTCCGATCCGAGCCTGCTGAGGTCCGATCCGAGCCTGCTGAGGTCCGATCCGAGCCTGCTGAGGTCCGATCCGAGTCTGCTGAGGTCCGATCCGAGCCTGCTGAGCTCCAATCCGAGCCTTCTGAGCTCCGATCCGAGCCTGGTGAGCAAGCACAGGGGCTAACCTCGATACCGGAAGGGGATGTGTTACAGGCGAATGGTTCTTGTACAGGACTTCCACCCCAGGTGGAAGCTCAGGTGGAAGATTCATCAAGTGCCCAGGTGGACCGTCAGGTTCAGAGGCAGCAGAGCAAGGTGACCCAGCAGCACGTACAGCAGCAGCAGCAGCAGCAGCAGCAGCAGCAGCAGCAGCAGCAGCAGCAGCAGCAGCAGCAGCAGCAGCAGCAGCAGCAGCAGCAGCAGCAGCAGCAGCAGCAGCAGCAGCAGCAGCAGCAGCAGCAGCAGCAGCAGCAGCCGGAGCATAGGCAGCTTGGGCAGGTGCCAGACCAGGGGCAATTGTACAGGCCTTTTCATCATCAGATTCATCAGTCCAGTGGGAACTTCAATCTGCAGCAGCAGCTGCAACCGCAAGCTCCGCCACTGTCACAGGAGCAGGCGCAGCAGAAGCAGCAGCAGCAGCAGCAGCAGCAGCAGCAACAACAACAGCATGTAATTTACAGTTATGGGAACGGAAATCATTTAGACCATCATCCTCCTCATCATCCCCATGTACATACCACATCTTTCTCTCACCTCCCTTTTCCCTACCTCTTCCAACACCTGCAGCAGCATCAACTGCCAGCATCGCTGCCTGTGACCCTCCCACTCCACCAGCACCATCTTCACCAGCAGTACTACCAGCAGCAGCAGCAACAGCACCAGCAGCAGCAGCAGCAGCAGTGCATTCAGCAACCCGACAACCATGCAACCACGCTCAGCCACACAGCATCATACCTCGATCCACCATGCAGCTTCAAGTTCAACAGCACCAGCACCAGCACCTTTAACAGCATCGGCAGCAGCAGCAGCAGCAGCAGCAGCAGCGGCAGCAGCCATGCGTTGGGCGTGTTCTGGGACATTGAGAATTGCTCCGTACCCTCTGACGTGCGCCCTGTGGACGTTGCATGCCGATTGCGTGCCGGCCTCTCCTCGCACCCCGCCACTGCTGCCGCCTGCATCACCAGTCAGTTCTATTGCCTTCTATGGCCCTCGCACTATCTTTAGATTTGGCTCATAACCTTCTTTTTGCCCGTCCTTCTCTTCGCTGCATCCTCCCCTCCACTTCTCTCCTTCATTTTCTTTTCGTCCCTTCGTTGCCCTCCCCCTTTACTTGACCCTCTCTTTGACTGTTTCGCTTCGTGGCTCTCTTGCTAGCAAGCTGAAGCACCCTTCCGCGAGTCAGTCTCCCTTCTATTCCTCCATTCTCATCCTTCGTCACCTTCCTAAATTGATTCTGCCCTTTTTCCTCCCCTCCTCATCTTCCCCTCACGTCTCCCCTCCCCTCTCCTCTCCTCCCATTCCCTCTCCTCTCCTCCAAATCCCTCCCCTGCCCCACACCAGCCTTCACAGCATATGGCGACTTCGCACTGATCCCCAGCCGCATCCGCGAGGCACTACAGCGCACAGGCGTCACTCTCGCCGACGTGCCCAGCGGCCGCAAGGACGCCTCCGACAAAGCCATTCTCGCAGACCTCTTCCTCTTTGCTCTCGACCACCCGCCCCCCTCCTCCATCCTGCTCGTCTCTGGGGATGTGGATTTCGCCCCTGCGCTGCATAAGCTAGGGCAGAGGGGGTTCGGGGTGCTGCTGCTGGCGCCGGTGTATGCTCACGCGGGCGTGTCGGCGTCGCTGCTGTCGGGTGCGGGGTTTGTGTGGGATTGGCTTGCGCTGGTGCGCGGGCAGGGGCTTGTTCCGTTTGTGGGGTTGCAGGGGAGGCGGCGCGCGTCTGGTGGTGCTTCTGCTACTGCTGCTGCTGCTGCGGCTGCTGCTGCCAGTGCTGCTGCTGCCGCCGCTGCTGCTGCTGGTGCTGGTATTGGTGTTGCTATTGAGGAGGAGCGGATGGTGCAGGGATGGCAGATGGGGCAGATGATGCAGGCTGGCGGAGAAGGGGGTTATGGCAGCGGCGGTGGCATTGGCGCTGCTGGGGGTGCTGCAGGGGTGTTTGCAGGTGGAGCAATGGGGGGTCCTGGCGGTGTGGATGGGGGGCAATGGATGGGAACGAATGGGCTGGTTCAGTGGCACTCCCAGCACCACCACCAACACCAACACCAACACCAGTTGCCTTTGCCATCCGTCCCAATGCCCTTTGCTGCCACTCAGCTGCCTTGTTCTGATTCTGGGGTTCCCTCACGTCCATCTGCTGCTGCTACCTCCTCCTCCTCCTCCTCCTCCTCCTCCTCCTCCTCCTCCTCCTCCTCCTCCTCCTCCTCCTCCTCCTCCTCCTCCTCCTCCTCCTCTTTCTCTCAGCCACATCCTCTCCCACCTCTCAAACCCCTTCCCGCTACACAGTACCACGCAGCACCCCTGTCAAACCCTAACCATTTGGCCACCTGTGCAGCACAGCCTTTACACGGAAGCCTCTTATCCAGTTCTTCAGGTGCAGCAGCATGCATGGACGAAGGAGTGGAAGTTGAAGAGGAAGGGAGAGACAGGGAGGGTTTGAGCTTGAAAAGCGGTGCTTTTGAGAAGGTGGTTACAGCTCACAAGGACTTGTCCAACGACATGTCAAGTACCCTGCTGTCATCTCACACGTCCACTCACACGCTTACCGACACGTTAACTGGCACTGAGATGTGCAGCAGTGCCTTTTCCACGGACATGGTTGCGTCGACACTTTCTCTGGCTAAGTCGTTCGGGAGCGTACCGTCTGACATGATGGCAAGTAATCGCGCTGTACATACATCTGCTGCTTATTGTGCCAGCAGTGCAAGTGGGAGCGTTGTAAACACCGGTATTTTTTCTGCACATGGTGCTGCTGCGGCAGCTGCTGCTGTCGATGCTACTGCCGGTGTGGCCGATGTTGCTGTTAGCGCCACAGTAACAGCTGCTGGTGTGTCTTCTTCAGCTGTTTCTGCTGCTGCTAGTTCTGCTGCTGCTTCTGCTACCAATGCTGGTGCTGATGCTGCAGAAGCAGCAAGCCAAGAGTGCACTGCTATAGTGCCTGTCTCTGCCGCGCTTCCTCTACCTCGTCCACCCTCCTTTCCTAACTTAAGGGAAGCAGGGCTTATTCACGCTGCTGCTGACACTGATGCGCGTGTCTCTGCCCATAATGCGATTGCCAATCCTGGAAGAACAGTTCCAGACTCTTTTCACAACCTCTACGATTCGGGATTTCCCCTTTCCGCTGCTCCTCCCCCCCTGCCGTTTGCAAGCCAAAACAGTGGCCCATACTCGTCACACAATCCCCTTCACCTCCCTCACTCCCACCACCCATCCCACGTCCACCCCCTCCCTTTCCCCTTCCCCTTTCCTCCCCGCAACCACCACTTCGCCCCACCCCCTCCTCTTCCTCCCCTGCCCCCACACCTCCCGGACATCTTCGCCCCGGCAAAAGCCGGGGACGTTTCGAATTTATCCCATCGGCTGCGCCACCTGCTGCACTTGAACGGGGGACGTATGAACCTTACGCGCGTTCCCTCGGAGTTTCGCCGCGTGTTTGGGCTGCGATTGTGCTTGACTGAGTTTGGCGCGAGCAAGATCGCGCAGGTGGTTGCCAAGATGGATGGGCGGGTGATTGGGATTGAAGGGAGTGGAGTGAAGCGGTTTCTGGTGCTTAAGGAGGGGTCTGCAGGGGTTGGAGGCGGTGGAGAGGGTGTAGGCGGGCATGCTGGGTATGTGGGAAACGCAGGGCTTGCAGGAGAGGCAGGGTATGGAGTGGACAGGGGTAGGGAAAATGATGGTGGTGATGGTGGTGATGGTTGTGATGAGAGGAATACAGGGAATGCAGGGATTTTAGGAAATACAGGGGGCGCTTGGAAGGCACCCCTTCTGGTGCCGGTATCTGTTATGACTGCTGCTGCTCCTTCTGATGGTGATGTGCGTGGAAGGGCGGGGAAGGGGAAAGGGAAGGGGAAGGGGGCGGGGAAGGGGACCGGGATGGGGATGGTGAGGGAAAAGACGGGCGGTGATGTGGAGAAGAGGGAAGAAGGGAGAGTGAGGGGGAAAGGGGAGGGGGAGGTGGTGATGGTGGTGGAGGGGGAGAAAGAGGGTGATGTGCGAAAAGAAGCAGTGGAGGAGAAAAGAAGGGGAGTCAAGGGGAGTTCGTTGGGGGAGGTGGAAGGGTCAGTGGTTTTGGTGGGGGAGGGTGAGAGGCACGGGGACTGGGATTCGGGAGCTGCTGAGAGGGCAGCAGTATTGCCTGCTTGGGAACCGTTTTCAGGGTTTGAGGAGTTTGGTGGTGGTGCAGTTGGCAGTGGTGTGGTTCATAGTGTGGATGCAGCCACGTGTGGGTACGAGACGGATAGTGTCCCTGTGGTGGGCAGTCTGTGTGGTGTGGTGCGGGGTGCGGGCAACAGCAGTGCGGGTTTTGTTGACCTTTTGACGGGAGACGAGTGGGATGGGGCGCAGCAGGCAGGGGCTAAGACAGGGAGAACGTCAGAGGCAGAGGCGGAAGCAGGTATGAAGTGCAAGGGAGGGGTTGAGACCGATACAGGGCTGGGTGCTGCATCAGAGGCAGGGGCAGAGACAGTAACAGTGGTAGGAGCAGTGCGGGGGATACGGATGGAGGGAACGGGGTTTGGTTTGGCAAGCCACGCACGTGCAGGTGCATCTGGTGGGTTGGCTGATACAGGGTTACCTGGTAACACGGTTGTTCGTTCTGGTGTGTTCAGTGGCTTCTCCTTTTTGCCTGTTTGGATGTGGAGGGCTGGGGAGTTTGGAGGGAGGGGGCACGGTGTAGAGGGGTGTGGAGGGATGGAGGGAGGCGAGATAGGGGGTTGGAGGGAGGAAGGAAGTGGAAGCAGGAGAGGAGGGGGGATTGGGGGGAAGTGGGGAGAGGGGAGTGTGGGAAAGGGTGGAGGTGAGAGTGGAACGTGGGAGAGGCTTCTAGGGGATTGGGAGAAGGTGTGGGGGAGTGAAGAGGCGGGTGGTAGTGGGAACAGGGAGGAGAGTGGGGAGGAGAGTAGGGAAGTGAATGGTAAGGGGAGTGTTATGGAGAGTGGTATGGAGAGTGGTGAAAGTGAAAAGGAGAGTGGTGAAAGTGGAAAGGAGAGTGGTGAGGAAAGTGGGGCGCAGGTTGATAAGAACAATGGGAAGCAGAGTTGGGGGAAGAGTGGTAAGGAAATTGGGGAGGAGAATGGGAAGGAGATTGGGGTGGGAATTGAAAAGGAGAGTGGGGGGGTGAATGGTAAGGAGGGTGTAAAGGAAAGTGGTGACAGTGGAAAGGAGAGAGGGACGCTGAATGGTATGAAGAGTGGGGAAGTGACTGGTAGGGAGGGCGTTCAGGAGGTTGTTGGAAGTGAAAAAGAGATTGTTAAGTGGAGTAGTAAGGAGAATGGTAAGGAAAGTGGGGAGGAGGTTGGTCAGGATTGTGGAGAGGACAGTGGGGGGAAGACGGATAAGGAGATCGGGCAGGAGAGTGGGAAGGAGAGTGCTAAGCAGGGCTGTAAGGACAATGGGGAGGAGGTTGGAATTTATAGTGAAGAGGAGAGTGGAGTAGCGAGTGGTAAGGAGATTGGGGAGGGGTGTGAGAAGGAGAGCGGGGAGGGGTGTGGGAAGGAGAGTGGGGAGGGGAGTGGTGAAGAGAGTGGGGAAGTGAATGGTAAGGAGCAGGGTACTGAAAGTGGAGAGGAGGTTGTTAAGGATAATGGGGAGGAGAGTGGGGGGGAGAGCGGTAATGAGATTAGGCTGGGGAGTGGGAAGGAGACTGGAGGGGAGAGTGGTAAGGTAATTGTGGAGAAGAGTGGGGAGGAGTGTGGGGAGGAGAGTGCACAGGGGACTGGGGGGGTGGATGATAAGGAGAATGGGGAGGAGGAGAGTGAGGAGGAGGGTGTGGAGGAGAGTGGGGAGGAGGGTGGGGAGCAGGGTGGCAAGGAGAGTTGGGAGATAATAATTCGGCAAGTAGTAGAAGAGAAGGGAATCGACCACGAAGCTGTGCATGGGAGTGGAGGATGTGTGGCAGCAGGGGAAGCAGAGAGTTGTGCGGGGGAAGAGAGCGAGTGGAACGAGTCAGAAATGACAGGTTGTGTACAGGAGAGGGTTGATTGTGGAGGAGGAGATGTAGGGGCGGGGTTAGGGATAGTGATGGTTAAGGATGGGGGAGGTGTTGGAGAGGAGGTTTTGGACTTGGAGAGTGAAGAGAACAGGGAAACGATGGGTGGTTGCAAGGTAGGAGTGGCGGTGGGAGGTGGGGAAGGAGGAGCAGTTTGGGGAAGGGGATTTGAAGTGAAAGGAGAGGTGGAGGGGGGTGAGGGAGTGGAGGGAGGTGTGGGAGTGGAGGGAGGTGTGGGAGTGGAGGGAGGTGAGGGAGAGGGAGAAATGGAAGTAGGGAAGCAGACAGGGTGGGGGTTGGGCAGCAGTGATGAGGATGGGTTGGGGCATGGAGGGGAGAGTGTGGGGCATGGAGGGGAGAGTGTGGGGCATGGAGGGGAGAGTATGGGGCATGGAGGAGAGAGTGTGGGGCATGGAGGAGAGAGTGTGGGGCATGGAGGGGAGAGTGTGGAGCATGGAGGAGAGAGTGTGGGGCATGTAGGAGAGAGTGTGGGGCATGAAGGGGAGAGTGTGGGGCATATAAAGGAGGGTGTGGGGGGGCATGAAGAGGATGTGTTGATGGCTGGACTTGCGATGAACGCAGGTGATGGGGAAGCAGGAGGTATGGGTGACGATGGGATGCAGCTACCGCTACCAGTATATGCTGAGGAGGATGCTGAGGAGGACGAACTGATTGTCTGGAGTGGTCTTGGGAAGGGGTTTGTGTAACATGGGTGGAGGAAGGGGTAGTAAGTGGTGAGGAGAGGGAGGGTGGAGTATCTGTAGAATGGAAATGTATCAATATATGTGTATCCAATTTTGTAAAGAGGTGATTCTGTTTTGGGGTGATTTAGTGTGCCTCCTTTTTCACAGGAGTTTGGAGGAGAATAAATGTACATTAGGCGGAATAAATACCAGCAAGGATTTCCTCATCTATATGATATAGCGGTTCCATTCGTTTCGCACTAGCACACACACACACACACCAATGGAGAATCCGACACGTTGGCGTTGCCCTTGCCGCGTGCAGGTCGTTCGAAGTCGTTATCGTCATTCCGCGGTGGTCAACGGGTTACTGCCCTTGCCTGCTGTCACCATTCCGATGTCTGTTTGCGCAGCTCGACTCGCGTTTGCCAACATTGCATTGCAAAAATCTCCCTGACAGAACTTCCCCTCCTGCCCTCGCTCCGCAACAAAGAAACCCCCCTACCTCGCGTTCCACCGAGCTCAACCTGCCGTACTTTCCTCAAAATTCCCTGCTGATGAGAAATTGATGCCCTTGTACGTCATCGTATAACTAGGAACTCTTTTCTCTCACCGAGTAGGTTGTATCTAATTCATCATATCATGCAGACCAGAACGTCTACATTTTCGGCATAAAGTGTCAGCCGAGTCGTAACCTTTCAGGGGCGGTTAAATCGTGAGCGACGGTTGAATGACGATGGCCTCAAAGTTGGATATCATGATGCGACCCTCTATTCCTCGTCTCCTCGTTTTAATTCTCCTGGTTCGCCATTCCCACGGAGGGCGGTTCGTACCAGCAATACTACAAGGGCCCCGAGACACCATGTTATGGAGCCAGGAACCATCCAGCCTCGCGGGCGATCATAGTGGCGATTCCCTCCAAGTCCCAGGTTCGTCTTCGTTCAAAGCTTCTTGGAACTGATAATGGTCCGCTCGGTTTCTTAACTTCGTCTGTCGTCTGCATGCTTAACAAAGACTCACGAGAATGTCACAGATGGTCATATCGGTGCATGGAACCAAACTTCATAGCAAAATCCGATACTTTCTCACATTGTGTTTCTGAGAATTTTCAAGCACCCTGCTCCCATCCTGGTGCGCAGGAATCCACAACATGGGGATCTCGAGGCGGTCACTCAAAGTGACGGGCAGCTCGTGGTATGCCGTGGGCTTCGCAATTGGCTCGGCTTTCATACTCATCGGACTCTTCATTTTGGCCGTGTTCATCCATTCGCGGATTAAGGCATACAGGAAGGCCAAGGAGCAGAGCTCAAAGGAGCTTCCTGAGGCTGTGAAAACCAAGAACCTGAAAAAACCAGTTCCTGAGGCTACAGAGTGTAAACGGAACGGGAGGCGTTTTTGGTGGACAAATGAGACGAATTCTTTGGTTGGCGGGGGTCACACAAAGAAGCAAGCCGCAAACGGAGCACCCAGCCATTCCCTGCCACAGCAAGCGCCGGAGGTCGCAGGACCAATGACAGCACCAGCCACTGCCGCTACCGCTACCGCTGCTGCTGCCGCTGCCGCCGCTGCTGCTTCTGCAAGAGCACAGCAGCAGCCAAATGAAGTGGGGAATGCTGACCGCGCAGGGCTACTCTTCCAAGCCCCGCCTCCGGTAGTATCAGCCGGAGCTAGGGGAGTGGTTGCGCTGGGAGTGGGGGCCGACGGGCAGGCGCAGGTGTGTGCGCAGTACTCACTGGCGGAGGTGGCGCAGGCGACGAGCGAGTGGGCAGAGAGCAAGCGCATCGGGGGGGGCAGCTTCGGGGATGTGTACAAAGGCGAGTGCCCCCACAATCCCCAGCTCGTGTGGGCCGTGAAGCGAGCCAAGATCCTCACCAACGACTTCAAGCGAGAGGTATGGGCGTGAATGGTGTGGTGTGGTGTGGTGTGGTGTGGTGTGGTGTGGTGTGGTGTGGTGTGGTGTGGTGTGGTGTGGTGTGTGTGGGGTATGAAGCGGTTGACTGCACTGGTTTAGGATGGGGTAGACCCCTGCTTGGTGGTACGGGCCGTCAAGTGAGTCACGATCCTCACCAACGACTTCAAGCGTGAGGTCGTATTGGGCAGGGGAGAAATTATGTGAAGAGATAAATCAGTGATTGGAAGGACGGGGCGGCTGCATGAGTCACGGTGACCGCTTGCTGCCAAAAACCATATCTGGTCTAGGCCATGTCTGCCAAGTTGTTACATTTTTGTTACATGCCTTGATGTTGCGATATGGCAGGTGAACGAGATGGCGACAAAGAACCACCCGAACCTGGTGAGGCTGGTGGGGTATTGCTTGGACTTCAGCCCTGTGACAGAGCGCATGGAGCAGATTGTCATCTACGAATTCATGGCCAACGGTGACCTCGAACAGTGGATCGGCCCTTGTGAGCAGCTCTCTCATTTCCGCTCGTCTTTTTCATTTAAATACTCTTTGCTCGTGTGATTTACCTCCCTCCCATCGTTTTCACCCGGTCTCTCTCTCTTCCCCCACTGCCTCCTCAGCCGCAAAGCAGCATCTGTCGATCCGGCAGCGGTTGGAGATTCTCATAGGCATGGCCCGTGGTTTGGAGTATCTTCATGAGTTTGGCATCGTGCATCGCGACATCAAACCCGCCAACATCCTTCTTGATGAGAAACTGAAGGTGAGATAGTGTGCGATTCAATGTGAGACAAGTCAATCCCATGCACCGTTATACATTCTCATACATGCTGCCTTCATACGCCCCTTACAACCTCGGTGCCGGGTTTCAGGCGAAGATTGCTGACTTTGGGTTGGTGAGGCATGGGGAGGGTACATCTGTGGCTGCCACTCGAGTGATGGGAACACCTGGCTATGTGGATCCTGCCTACTATAAGTCACAAAAAGCCACTCCCATGGCTGATGTGCACAGGTGTGTGAATGATATGAAATTAACACAGCTGTGAGGTTTAATTAGAGATACACGGTCGACTGTATGCAGAGTTCTTATATGTGCCAAGTGTTCTTTTGCCCACGATCCATGGCGGAGACTATTCATCGCCGCATTCTTCTAGCCCCTCATTCCTCCTCTCTCTCTCCTTTGGACATCCTTCTCATCGTCCTTCTTGCTCCACCTTGCCAGCTTTGGAGTGGTGATGCTAACCATTCTCACGGCACGCAAAGCTGTTTGGAACTTGGAGTCAAACCTGGTCAACCTCAAGGCGTGGGTAAGTGATTCGTGCCGCATACAAGCTTCCCTCCCACTCACCCGTTTTGCCTTAAAGTGCGTTCTGGTTTTGCAAGCTGTGCTTGCTCATTCCGTGTGATATTCCCTTGAATCGACAGGTGGAACCTCTAGTGGCGGCTAAGGATGTGGCAAGCTTCAAGGATCCGTACCTGGAAGCACCAGACACCATGGTTCTGCGCCTGGCTCGCCTTGCCCTCAGCTGCACTGCCATGCCTACTGCATCCCGACCGTCCATGAGTCGGATCCTTGGAGAGTTGCTGGTTATCAAGGACGAGTATCTGGGCGCGAGGGTGGATAGGATGGCAGTGCGCATTGACCAGGAGCTTGGAGGCTCCACAGATGCTGATTTCAATGTAGAGCTTGCCCGGATCGAAGGAATGCAGACTAGTAGTGCATATTCGAGCAACGCAACGCACTGATGAACTTGATTGCAGAGAAATTGCACAATCTGGTGGCTTGGATGCTCTGGCTGATTTTATTTCAGGAATGTAGAGCACGTAGATGCACTTTGGCTTTCCTGGTTTTGGATCATTATTGCATACTTCTCTTGACATGCGTCTCATTACAGAGGGACGGGAAGATTAGGATGAGGGGGGGAGGGACGAGGTGTAATGGTTTTGCAACATACAATGAATGCGGAAGATTGTCCAAGTCCCTACATCCTATACCATAAATTGCTTAGGATGCTAACCTATATGGGGCTTTAGGGGCTGTAAAACAACGGGTCTGGCTAGATCAGAAAAGCTGATTTTGAGATTTCTGAGGTTTCAGGGACGGGTAGCTTTCAGGTACGGACCTTCAATGTCACATTGGTATGATGTTCAGCCTCAGCCATCCTTGAACACCATATAGCCTGACACCGTTCAGATTTTGGCAGCTCTGGCCATAGAGGTACAGTTAGTGCGTCCCGCTGGACTCCCCGTAGCGCGCCCCGCTGGCCTAATTTGTCGCCCCATCGCGCGCCCCTATGGCCTCGTTCATCCTCCCGTCGCGCCTCACATGTGGCCCTGTCGCGCCCCATCCGCTGCTCTGCCATGCCCCGATGTCACAGCCGCCTCCGCGCATGCTACTGTGCCAACGCCCAACTACGGTGGCGGACGTTGTGGGATGGAGGCGAGGGGGGGTATCGATCGTGCCGCCGTGCCCGAGCTTGCCACTACGCCCTTCTGCGACAGACACTATGGTGGAAGCCGGGGGGGCTCGCGGCCGTGGCCGAGGGGATACTCAAGCTTCCGTGATCACCCCCCCCCCCCACCACCCCTTACTCCCTTCCTCCTCCTGTACCTGCATCGTTAGCCACAGCTATTCTGCCGCGCCTACCGCTGTGGGGGGGAGTGTGATTGGGTGGCGGGAGCGAGTCGGGCAAGAGGAAAGTGGGGGGAGAGGGTGGGGGTGTCATGTCAGAATGTTATTATCTAGCCTGTAGTGGGGTGCTCTATAGCGGGTACAACCCAGTTAGGGTTTGCTATATGTATCCCAACTACTGCTAGTGAAACCGCTCCTTTCTTCAATTCTGTTTCTGCCTACTAACTTTGACATGGTTTCAGAGCAGGTCGACCCCCTTGGGTCGATCCTGTGGGTGGGCCCGCCACCTAACTGCTTCCGCTGCTGTTCTGCTTCTCGCGCGCCTCGGGCGTGCGCCGTCTTCTTCTTGCCGCCGTGCGCCCCGAGGCGTGCGGCGATTTTTAGGGTTTTTCATCCCGCCGTGCGCTCGGGGCGCGCGGCGAGTTTCTGCCCGCCGTGCGCCCCGAGGTGCGCGGCGGTTTCCTACCGTGGGGGACCCGCGCGCGCCCCCGC